CAAATAAAATTTATAACTCGAAACAAAAAAAAAAAAAGTGAACTTTGTATATAGTAAGCTGTTTTGTGTTCCATATTTTCACAGGTAATTATTATTTTTAATTAATTCAATTAAAATGTAATTGTTTTTCACCGGCAGTGTCGCAAACTGGAGGTATCAAGAGTAACAGCTGCTACCTCTGATTTATTTTGGTGGTTAACCCCTTAGTGGCGTAATTGAGAATGTTTCATATGGGGGGGGGGGGGAAATCAAAATTAATTTGTATGATAAACTTATAGTATATTTTCAACTCAAATAAAAATATTTCTATACATATTTAATTTTTAAATAGTTATTATTTACAAGCAGTGGTAGTTTTACGGGAGAGGGGGGATTAAGGATGTCTGGACCTCCCCCAGGTCACACGTTTAGGTTGTGATGTATTATAACTTATATGTGAATAAACGCTTATACGCTTATATACAAATCTGGTGATTTTAACCGTATGTCCGTATGCTTGAATGTTTATTACAGCTATTGCCTATTTAAGTATTTATATTATTTTCTTTGAAATCACGGTGTTTTATAATAAGTATTTATAAGATAGTGTAAAAATCCCCCCCCCTCCAGAAAAATTAAAAAAACCGCCACTGATTACAAATAGCTATTTTTTTTAAAGGAAGACGCAGTCTCAACGTCTCTCCTGACGAGCCACCCATGCTAATAAATGTAAAAAAATACATGCATATTTCGTAAGATTTTAAAACATTTAATTCTGGGCCTAATAATGTTTAGTATTTTGAATAATTTAAAGTTGTAATATTTACATCAGGTCCAGGCTTATTTTTAAAAAATTCAATAGAATATCTTCAGTAGCTGATAATTTTCTTTTTATTTGCCACATTTTTATTTTGGCTTATAATAATAAAATCAATTACTATGTAGTATTACTGTGTGAGAATCGAGAATGACACGGTTTGTAGTGTATACACGAAGTCGTAATAATCAATGTAATGATACATTGTATTAGCGTGCGATCGTAGTTACTACGAAATGTAAATCTTGATAGTACTGTAATTAAGTACCGTGTATGACACGGCACCTAGTGTTTATTAATAAATAAAAAATAAAGTACAACAAATAATTTATTTTTAAATCTTTTACCGAGTAAATATTTATATCCCATACTAATACAGCTAAACATTTAATTTTTTCTTAGTTTCGTAATAATTTTCAAGTTTGTATTTGAAATATTTCTAGGTATAAACAATATATAAATACAGCTCATGGGGGGTGGGAGAATATATCCCCCATATCTCCTGCCGTAATTACGCCCCTGTAACTTCTGGATTCAAAATATCTACATCATAATTTTACTTCGTATAAGAATATTAAAAATAAACTATAAAATAATATGCCTATTAGCTTAAGCCGCGTACACACGAGCGCGCCGAACCTGTAATGCAACGTTGCACGCGCGGCGCGCTCGTTCGTGTGTATTTGAAACACGCGCGCGATGTTACTACAACCGCGCGGAGAGAACCAATTTTTGTCGTTTTTTCCAACGAACACAAAGGAAATGTTCGGCGCAGTGTGAACGTGTTTATATTATTTTTATCATCGTTGAAACGCGCATACCGCTTTGACAACGTGATTTAACACTAGTACACTGTCGTAATCTATTTATTACTAGTACTCGTATTTGTGTACTTGTAAGTTTTTATTGTAATTTGTACTTGTAATTACTTGTAATTTTTTGTCAATAATATTTCAAAAGTTGAAGAACTCATTCGAGTAAAATTTTTATATTGCCCACTGATTTCTTGAAATTTTAAATCCATTAAAAGTTCATTTCCACTACGTTTTTTAAATAACTCAGTGTGCCACCATCTTCGTTTGCGACCCCTTTTTTTTGGTACAGCACTTCCCAAAACAACTATTGCTGCACTACAAACTAGTAAAGCTTCTTCAGCCACCATTTTTTATATTCAAATAATTAAATTTAAAATTACTTAATTAAAACGACTATGGTCAGTCATGGTACGACTCCGAACGTCTGAACTATGCATGAAAATGTTCGCGGCAAACTGCGCTCGTTGACAGTGGATCGTTTGCGCAGCTTGTGTTTGTTGTGAATTAAAAATTACTTCGCGCCGCGCGTGGAACGCGCGTGAAACGTTGCATTACAGGTTCGGCGCGCTCGTATGTACGCGGCTTTAGAGGCAACTGACTAAATACTAATGAGTATCATTAGCATTTATTATAATCCATAACGTCACAGACAATTGAAAATTATAATTCAATATTGAAATACAATATTGAATTGTATTTATATACAAATAATAAATAAAATAAATATATATATGTATAAAAGATAATAAACATAATGTAATTAAATAAATCTAATTTAATAAAAAATAAAAATTAGCTCCTTTGCATAGTTAAACAAATAACTTATCAGTATAAAATATAAAATCATAATAATTAGCCATTAGGTAAATATACATTTTTAAATACTATACTATTGAAAGTATGGAAATTAAAATTAAAATGACTGAATTCATATAATACAAATATATTATTTAACTATAACAATATAATAAAATAAAAATAAGCTCCTTTGCATAGTTAAACAAATCATAAATTAAGGAAGTATAATGTTCTCATTGATATACTTAAGAAAGTATGGAAATTAAAATTTAGATGGCTGAAAACACTTCAGAAAACTTGACGAGTAACATGTTAATAAATCACAGGCGATTAGAACTATTACTTATTAGACGAATATTATCATAAAAATAGCTGCTATCAATAATAATGCGCCAGTTTTGTCGTTACTACATATATATATATATATATTAATATTAAACATATCTGTGGTCGTTACAGTCGTTGCCAGATAAATTGAGACGGCGGCGGCGGCGCGATAATGGAAAACCAGTGGTTCTCCGTATTTCAATATTATTACCGAAAATACATCAATTTACCAACTATTGTTACAAAAAATATTTTACGATATTAATTTAAAATCAAATATTCCGATAATAATCTTTTATCTAAGAACAAAAAGTAGAAATTGTAAAATAATATAATTAATATAATAATAATACATAATATTAATAATAATATGATGAACTAATAACAATATCTATATGCATTGTTATAAACAAATATTGTTGATACGATTGAAGTGCTTGCGCGGTCAAAACACACCGGGTTAGGTTAGTTGTTTTTAGCAGTGTAGGGCAACCAGAACGGGAGAGAGTACAGAAAATTCTGCAGACAATTTTTTGCACTGAGCCGGGTCCGAACTGGTGACTGCGCGCGTCGTAGCTAACTGTGAGACCTTTGCACCACACTACCAGCGACTAGTTTGGGCTACACTTAGTGAAAAGCGCCGCCGCCGCCGTCTCAATTTATCTGGCAACGACTGTACCTATTTATAGGCAGGTGATGGACTATACAACGTTAAATTGGAAAGTCCAAGATTGTATCGAAACGATATCAAACAATATCAACTGATTAAATGACATTTGACAGTCACTATCTCAAACGCAAAAAAAAATATTTTTCAATAAATAATTTATAGGAGAAGAATTTTCTAGGGGAATAAAACACAATTCGAGTTGTCAAGTTTTTTGAGTTATCGCGACTCTACTGTATAGTATAATATAGTTATTATAGTAATAATATGTAAGCCACTTTACTTATTCCATTCATATTAATGATTATAATAAGAACTTTTAGATTATATAATAAATAATTGATAAATAACTAACATTAATATTTGTATTAGAAAAAATTTCAATGTTTCATGTTTTTGTGAAATATTACATGCTTCAAACACTAAACAAATGTCGTTAACTGTAGATTTATCAGTGTTATATTTTAACTATGAGCTATACAATTTTTTTTATCATATATTGTAATTGTTGAGCTATCATAGTTTTATATTAGTAAAATAAAAAATAAATCTCAACTATAATAATATCCATGAATTCTTATTTCTTATTTTAAAATCTTTTAAAGCTTAGTGTTTACGGGAATTAAATCATAGTTATTCTAAAAAAAAACTTCTGGGGGATATATCCCCATATCCACCCCCCATTATTACGCCACTGTTCCCAATAAATTCATAAGTTGTTTTAATATGATCATGCTATTGCTTATTGATATTTAAATCCTATAGGTACCTTCATTAATAAACAGTTATTTATTAAAGTATAATAGATCCAAATATTGTTACTTAAAAAAATTTTAATTGTACAGTAGTTTTAAACAGTTTTTATACATTTTAAGATTGTATTTTTATAACACAGTTTAGTTATATATTTAAATATGCCTATGTATTAAGTTGAAGAATTATATATTGAACAAAAAAAAATCCTAAATAAAAAAGAAGTTGATTATTTTATACATATATATGTGTGTGTGTGTGTGTGTGTGTGTGTGTGTGTATAAAATAAATACATAAAATAAATAAATAAAACAAAAATTAGTTTATGGTTAATACTCGTAAATAAATATATAAATAAATAGATAATATGTAGGAGTAAATAAATAAAATGCGCAGTATGATACTATACGATCGGTTTCGAATAAAAAATGTATCGTCAAGTAAATTACAAATTTAAGAAAGGATATATTTTTATATGTAGGTTATCCTATTATCAAATTAATTTTATGAACACTACTCATGCTAGAAGGGAGATCGATTTATGTGCAATTAAATAAATCATACAATATATTATTTTAAAAAATCCTATCATTGTCTTGTTTACTAATATTTGTGTGTTTCAGGTGGAATGAAAACATTAAGAAGTAGCACAACGATTCGTATGTTCGATATAAAAGCGTGCTGTAATGTTTAATCCCAACGAATGTTGTCTCTTCGCACAACGTGCCTAAATTAACATTACACCATTTACAGTTAATATCGGCAGCTGACAACAAAACTTAAGTTAATTCTGCTTTACACAGAATATAATTATATATGTATCGTATATAATATATGAACAATCATGGATATCCAAGACGGTACTGACAGACTAACGTCAATTAATTGTATGCTTTTTTTCCTTAAAAATTAAATTAAAAAATTTCCCTTTTTTTTCCTATTTCAAACGCATATTATTGTTTATTTTTTTTTTCAACAAAAAGTCTGTGACTATAATAATACTGTCAGCCAATGTTAATGTTTCTCATTGTCTGATTTATATGTAATACGAGTAAATTGTTTTTTCTTCAGAATTATTAAGATATATTGAAATTCAACATCAGCAATCGTGGCAAACGCTGGATAATTTGCAACAAGAAATTCAACATACCCAGCAAAAATTACAAAATTTGCAACAAGTGCAGTCGCTGGGAAAATTCACAACAGCAACAACTTGTAGCTATTCGCAAGAGGAACAATTTCAGCAGTCGCAACAGGTTCTGGAGAAGCGATCACAAGATCAGCCGATGCTAATTTTTGACAACATAGAACCTTCCCATAATATAGAAAATCCAAATTATATGAATATGCGACCCTCATTGTTTCCAAACACGGGTCAGTATCTAATACAGCTATTTCTCAAAAATAGGATCAAGTTCATGTTGATTTATTTAACATTTGAATTATCATATGTTATTAAACTTTAAACTTATTCTTTGTACTATTTTCATTTTAATTATCAAAGTACGAAAAAAACTAAAACTCAATATATATATATCATTTAAAAAATATGTATGATAGAGCAACGGTTCTCAAACTAGGGGTCGACAATTTATAAACTACCTAACTAGTAAGATGTTTTTGTAAATATCATCATGATAGTTATTGTAGAGAATTACAAATGACAACCGTTAAGGATTGCAATTAAAAACGTTATATTAATTATTTTAATCATATTCATTTATCATTACGTTTTAATTTTATCATTAAAGTTCGGATATTTATGATTTTGCATATTTTTTTTTAGCGTGACCAGAATTATACCCAAATATGATATAAATTCAATTCATGAAGTCTAGATTTCAAATATGTAAACTTACTTTGTATTTATTTACATACTTGAAATTATTGAGCATATAAATGCATATACATTATTTCTAGATTCAATAACATATTAGCATAAATAGCATATTATTTATAAATTATAAATATAAAATTAAAAATGTTCCATATTATTATCAATTATAATCGGCCATCGGAATGTGTTTAGTGTGAATATGAGCTGCAGAAAATTATACACAATAAGTAAAATAACTAGGTTACCTTGTGCAGTCAGACTGCAGCCACTGTAGTAGTCTATCGCATATATTCATGTTTATTCATGAGAAATGGTTTTGTGTACGCGACTGTCGCATCGGGGATCTTATCAACGAGAATGAAAATTAAAAGATTACGACACATTTTGTTTATTTGGTGTAGGTTTAATTTTCTTTTTTTTGTATTTAGTTCGTTCTGTATACTTACTGCATTTCACATGTTGTACGCTGATATTTAAAGTATAATATTACATATTATGTAACATTTAATTTTGATTAATCTACCTACTATTTATTATTATTCATATTTTATATCCTAGTGTATTATTCAATGAAGTAATTTTAAATACACATTTAAAGAGTATAAAATTAATTTGTAATTAGAATTAACCTTTTTTTTTTTTTTGTTTATATTTGTTAAAAAATAGATATATTCAATACATTTTAAAACATAGAATTCCATATCTGACATTTTTAAATGCATAGTTTAATGAATTTGTGGTCATTAATATCCAAGCTCAAGTTATCATAATAAATGAGTCGCTTGAAAAAATTTAAAACCACTGTGATAGAACTCGAAGAACGATTGTAAGGTGGACAGGAGTTAAGGAAAAAAAAGTATAGAGAAAAAAGATTAGCAATATAAAGAGACAAGAACGAGAATGAAAAGTTATTATAGACCCTTGACTTAATTTTATAATTATATATATGGTTTAGCGTTGAGCCCCATCCGGTTTTTATTAGTACTTTATGAAATTAAAAAATATGTATACAGAGTGAATAGATTATAACCATGTTTTAAATTATCAATAATAGTAATTTGAAGATCGGTTATTAAGAGATAATTGAAGCTGAAATGACTTTAATTTTAAACATTTTTGGTTCCATGATAATTTTACTGTTCCGTTAATAATCATAACAATGTAAATGTAAATATGTTTATCATAATAAATAATATTCCTTATTAATGATAATTAAATAAATCATTATTAAATCTTTCATATTATTGATTCAAGCAATTTAAATTAACAAAGTGGGTGACAAATAAAATATACAAAATGTTAATTAATATTTTAATCTCTCACTATAGTCACATCAACGGTTCATTCTCAAAACATGTGTAACTGTTCAAAAAGATTGAAAAAAGAGCGGACCACATATTCTTCAAAACAATTGTTTCACTTGGAAGAAATGTTTAAAGTTGATCCAAAATTAAGTACGGCTGATAAGCGGAAATTGTCAACAGAGTTGAAGCTTACAGAAAAGAAAATTATGACATGGTTTTCAAACAGACGTGCAAAAGAAAAGAGATTGAAAATGTCATCGAGTGAGCAAATTTTATACAACTAAATAAATACATATAATATTATTATATTTATATATTATAATATATTAAGTCGCGTTTACACGATTCACTTTTGGTGATCATTTCGGATGAATCATCCACAGTGAAACATTGAAAATTTAAACAAACAATTTACATGCTTCACTTTAGAAGATCACACACTTTTTGTGGAATGGTATTATTATTATTAATTATTTATTATTATCATTAATAGTTAAAGATACCAATGATAATAGTTATATTCTATTATTATTTTTTTATTTAAGTAAATAGTTAGTAAGTTAGTTATTTTTGTTAGTTTAGTAAATTTAAGTCATCTACTGTCAATCCATCAAAATTTAGCTCAACCACTATTTCATTAAAAAAGTTTTGTCACTTGCAACCTAATTTTTACACAAACCATAGGCATGAAATTATTTTCATTGTAAAATAAAAACAAATTATACATACTTTATTTTTATATTATGGTACTTTTATATTCCACAGACATTGGCGATATTCCATTAATCTAAGTATTAATGGAGTATGGTTATTTTTCCGTTTAAAACACATTGTACTTAATAAAAATTGGTATACACGTCTTATTAAAACAATTTCAACGGTTACAACTAATAATAAATAATTATTATATACTGAAAGTGTTATGGTAAATTGATAACCATTTACCGCGATTTTCTTATCAGAGCAAAATATCAAAAATAAAAATATATATTTGAACATTCACTTATTTTGAAGATGAAAGTAGTGTTTACACAATTCACTTTTGATGGTTCAACGTGGATGAGTCACTCAAAGTGAAGGAAAATTGGACTCGACCGAACTTCGTTCATCGTTCGACGAGGATGATCACTTCTGATGATTAAATGTTTACATTGTTCATTATTTATTAATTTGGATGATTTTTCCAAAATGATCACCAAAAGTGAACCATGTAAACGTGGCTTTACATTTTATGGGTGAAATGGCCATTATTTACGGATAAAACGCATTATCTTGAATAGTTTTGTACCTAAGCAATAAATAGGATGAAATATTATAAATATTATACTATACTTTAATACAAAGAGGTATTTGGAATTGTTTTTTTTTAGAGTACTTTGATATAATCTCATAATATATTTAACATAAAAAAAAAAAATTAACGCATTAATCGTTTAATAATTAAATTTGAATGAACTTACAATAACAAAAATAAATGTTATCTTTATTTACATTATTGCGTCTATATATTGCTTACTCTAATCAACAAAATAATTATAATTTAATTAATTTAATAATTATAATACAAAATGCACACTTCACTTTTTTAGTCAAATTTTCCATTTGTCATGTCGTAAGCCATTAATTTGGAATTTCATGTGAATCCAAATTTTAATTTTAACTAGATCACACAAAAATCTTTATAAATTTGACTAACCTGAATTTTAATTATTTGTTTAGTTTTATTATAGTCATTGATTAAAAAATATTACATGTATTAATAAACTTTTAATTAAATCATAATACTCGTAAATATCCCCAGAAGATTACACATTTAAGTTCTATGAGTAATGGCTGAATATTGAAAAGTCTATGGAATATCAGTTTATCATTGTATGTATATTTTTAAAACTAACAGAGATTTTGAAACAATGCAAATCTAAATTTCTAGAAACACCGATTATTATGAGGAATTTTTATTTTAACTCGCATTTGTCAACTGTTCTTTTTTTTTCATAAGTGTCAATGAAAAAATGAACTCACTCCTTGAAATTGAAACTGGGGAGGTCTCAGATTACTTGGAACTTCCCCATCCTACTGTTAAGTTGCCACTGCGTAAATATAATATGCATACGTACTTGTTACTTTACAACATAAATACTATAAATGGATTTAGTTTTATTTTAACGTTTATTTCACTATTTTCCATATAGGTATGGGTTTAAAGATTTTACAGCCCGGCGATTCTGCCGTTTCGCAGCCTGGCGGCGGCCCATCGTGCAGTTATCTTGCTCCGTCACACAATGACCGAGTTCAAATTATGAACACAGATTTTGTCTCAACACCGTATCCCAACAATGCGTCTACGTCGGGCTCGTACTCCATGGTTTCCGAAATATACCAAAACCAAACCAATTCGACTCTGGCGCATCAGTTCGAGGAAGTCTACATAAACTTAAAGGAGTCAAACGTTTGTCCAATATCCGAGCAGTCTTACGAGAATTACTCAATCTTGGAATAGCTGCTTCAAGACCCGTAGTAATAATTTCTAGACATATAGTAGCATATGTAGCACCAGTCAACAATATTTATAATTATTATTATTATTATTATTTTTTAAATAAATTAAAGTATCAAAATGTAAGATTATGAGACTATATATATTTAAAAATAGTAGTTTAATAAAGTTATATTTTTACAATGTTGAAAACTGTTTTTATAAGATTAATTTTTGTTAGAAAGAAGCTTTTTGTTAGAAGCTTATGATTTTTATGTTAGTGTTTTCATCGAGTACTCCTTCTTCATTGTATGGTATGGAATGATTTTTTCTTTTATTTTGATATTATTTACAATCTTGAACTATATTGTAGATAGATAGACTAGCTAGTCATTTTTTCCATATGGGTGATGGATTTTTAATAAGACATAAATGGGTTATGAAAAAGTGTCCGATTCTGACTCTTATGAAGACCTATCGTTTCTTGAAGTGAAGCATACGCAGGATCGAAGTATTGTCATAATATAAGGAAGGCTATTAATTTTGGTGAGCCCTTTCACACAAAACAATTTCTTTTCTTTTTCTCATTCAGATTTAGTAATTTGTAATAAATATTATTTAAATATTATTGTAGTATTTAGTATTTATAAGATAATGTTGACAAATTAAATAAAAAATAAAAAAAAAACATTACATTATATATTCACGTAAATAAAATTTAATTAAAATGTAGTAAAAATTTATAAATGTTCAACTGTATAAGTACAATACAAATTGTATTAGTTCTGTGTAACTTGTGTAAAGTGATAAATATTCCATTTCATTTGAGTATTTTTTGAATCGTGCTATACGTCAGTACTCTGTTGAAAAATTTTCATTAGATAATTTGCAATTTTCAAAAAACCCCTAACTGCCGTTCAAAAAATACCAAAATTATAATTTTAAATTTTATATTTTTAGATTTTGAGTAAAACAACGAATATATTAACATGACATATGTAATTTTTTAAATTTTTTTTTAAGTTTCTGTGTATATGATTTTGACCGGAAGGATTGCTCCGATAATTACAATCATAGAGAATATGTTATTTCATTAATTGAAAGAGGGTGATTTTACGTCAATAAATTTTCTTAATAATTTCAAAATACTAAAGAAAATTTATAAAAATAAAATTGTTATTTTCACCGAATTTTTTTACACTTAACCGTAAGTTCCTTTATTATTTTTCGAAAATATTGATAGAAAAAATTTGGTTTCAAAAAACCTCGAAAATGTTATATGAATTTTCCATATGTCTCTATTATTAATTGATTAAAGAAAAAAAGAAATTTAATTACATCGAAAAAAAATGTTACGAGCTTTTAAATATTAAATTTTAACAAAGCAAAAGAATTTATATAATGTTTAAAAAACATTTTTTTAATGAAAAATTCATTAAATTTTTAAATTTTAATACAGAAGATTTAAAATGGAATACGATTAAAATATTTTCTTTTATTTCTAATTATCGGAAATAGGAAAAAATGTTTTATAAGCACTAGAATTTGGAATTTTAATAAAATCAAATATTTCAATAACCTTAAAATTTTCGTTTTTTTTTAAAATGTTATATTTTTTTTTTATTTAATTTATATATTTTAAAAGTTTAACGTTATTTATTAAGAAAATTGATTCTTTAATTAAATCAGCGATATCAATAATAATAGATGCTTTCGAACTATTTCACTAAGAATCGTTTTTTGAGAACAATTGTATATTGGTTTCAAATTTAAAAAAACCAATACTGCGATTATTCATTCACCCATTCCTGTACATAACCCAATCTAGGTATTTTGCTCTTTTTCACTCGAATTTCACAAGTAATTAGTATAATAATAGATAGTATAAAGTGAAAATTAATCGAACTACAGCAATAACATTCTGTATTTATAATGAAAACAAGATAACGTATAGAAAAACTAAATTATGTCCTTTTTTTACTTTAAATTTGAAATTACTTGATTATAATTAGAATTTTTCTTATAAAAACTTTTCAAATTTTTAAATATATTGAATTTCAAAACCAGAATACTTATCGTAACTCAAGTGATGGTCTATATTTAAAAAAATAAATTTGTTTTTAATCAACCTTTACAGTAAAATTATTTATACTAATTGTAACAAAAATTTCACTTTGAAATTGAGTTTACGAAAAAACAAATTGTTATCACTGTATTTAGTACCCTTGAGTTAATCATTTCTAATCACTTCAAATCGGGTTTATTTGTTCTTGACCATGATCGGTTTTTAAGTATTATGGTTCAAATCGAGTACTTAACGGAATGGAATGTTAGAATAAAATCAAACTGCAGCATTAGGAGTTTTTGTGAAAATCCAAGTACGAAAATGTGTCTTACGGGATGGTATGTTACAAGAATAACTGGTCATCGTTACGTTCAGTGAGTGTTCCGGTCAAAAGAGTCGCGCCGATGGTTGACGCAGGGTGGACTGCGGTCAGGGCCGGCGGACGCGGCTCTCGAGCGTCGGCGCGCCGCGACATCCTGTTGGCCACGGGCGTCCATGACAAACGAGTCGTCTAGCCCGAACGGCCTGCTAGACTCCGAGAACTCGGACGACACGTCGGGCAAGTAACCATCGTCGGAAACGTTGTTGTACTCGAACACAGGGCTTCGGTCGATGGACAGAGCCTGCGAACCAATCGAGCTCCGGTTGTCCAACATTTCGCGCCAAGGCTCAGGTGTACCGGCCGTCGACGCCGAATCGTCAATACGCACATACGGGCAACCGGGCACGGCCAACGACCGTGGTGCTACAACTTCCTCGTCCAATTGTGGGTTGTCAAAGTACGCTTCGACCGCTTCGTAATTGTTCGATTGGGACCGGGGGGCGGCACTCGGTCGCGGTTGTCTCTCAGCTAAAGCTTGTTCCGGGAAATTGTCCATTCGAATGGTTCCGGACACCGTGAACGTGTGGTTTCGGCAACCTCCACCACCACCACCACCACAGCCACCACCACCACCACCACCACCACCACCACCACTAACACCGCAACCTACACTACTACCATCGGTAGCCACGCTGGTCCGACCGCAGCTGGTGGCCGCGCTGATCCGACCGCAACTGGCTGCCACGCTTGTCCTACTGCAACCAGTGGTTGCGCTTATCCGACCGCAACCGGTGGTCGCGCGTGTCCGGCTGCAGCTGGGAGCCGTGTTTGTCCGATTGCAGTTGGATGCTGCGCCGCTGTTTATCGTCCCTCCGTCTTGCCAGGAGCAAACATCGCGCAATGCGAATTGCGGAACGATCGGCTGCGATACATTGTAAGTGCGGCGTCGTTCATTCGGATCCATATTCGGCTGCGACTGTTGTTGTACAGGAGCGTTGCGCGCAGCCTCGAGCCTTCGGCTATTGCAAACCGTTACCGCGGGTCGCGGTATTCGAGCAGGAGCCGGTCCCTGGCGGCTGGGCACGGGTAACATGGAGCGTTGGTAGAGTTGCACGGGCCTGTCGATTCTTCCTACCTGGTCGGGCCGGTCACCTATGGTCACCGGGATCCTTGAAGCAGATGCAGTGGTGATTCTTTGGTGGCTTCGTGGGTTCATTGGCTGTCGGGCAACGGTCTCTCTACCTCGTCGCTGGCCACAGCAGTGGTTGTTCGGACATCTCATGCCAGGGTTATCACTTCCAGCGCGGAACCGAATGTTTATGCTTTTCGTTACCGCCTGGGAGCTAGCGCACGATTTTCCATGCAAAGAACACCGTGGCTCTGCCGACGGTGAACCAGTGGTATTTTCAACCGACTCGCAACCAGTTGTTTTGATCACCCGTTCAGTATCTCTTTCTATTACAAGATCGGTAGTTGGATTCAACTGACCGTTCGATCCTTCCGTGTTACAATCACATTGAACTGATTCTGAGGTCACCGGTCTGCAGGATTTTTCTGGTGAATTTTCAACACAATCTTCTACATGCGATCGCGCCGTTTTATTGAAGGCAACAGACACTAGCGTTCGTTCTTCTGGCTGTTGGCACAATTCGCTAACATCCGAATGAACTCGTGTCAAGTCATCTTTGAAGCTTTGACAATTTTGAACACTTGTCATAAGTTTTGGGACATTTTTTTTGGTCGGACACTCGTCATCATTGTCTGGTAATTTCTGGACTACTGTCTCTTGTGAAATATCTAAATTTGGATGACATTGATTGAAAAGGTTTGAAAATAAGTGAATAGAATACTATGGTAAACATCATATACAATTCTAAGCCTAGAAATTAGAAATTATAATAATATACAATTTTATTCAATACGTACTTTCACAACAGTTCGGGTCAATTTTTAGTGTATTTCTGTGATTATTTAAACCATGATGATCTTTGTTATTCAACCCTACGTGTATACCGGTGACCTCAGCAATGAGACGTGGAGCGATGACGATTCGCACACAACCAGGATACATTCTGTTTAATATGTTAAAAGCTCGTTCGTCTAATTCCAGTTGGTTTTTCTCGTGACGACATGTATCTCTGTCAAAACATTTTATTATCGGTTTATATTATTAAATTATTAACTATGTATAATAGTGACGTACTTATCGATGCAAACTTCGTTAATGGGTCTTAAAGTGCCGTTTAATTTGCTTTTATGATACCATTGAAATGCATGTTTAATATTCAGACCCATCGAAATTTGTTCTCCCATTAGACCACGACATCTTTCTTCCATCGAAATTCTAAAATATGATTTAATAAATACCACATAAATACATCTACTAATATAATAAGAAATTGGTTACATAAAATAAAATATAAATATATACGTAAAACCAAACATAGATTGATATAGAGCAATGATAAAATTATGGTTATGTAGCACAATAGTACATGAAGGGTACATGAAAGGACAAATCTTCTGCGTGAAAGTTCTATATTGCTTCACGCATACTAAGCACTGAACGATACAAACTTTTCAGATACTTCTTCATTTTTTTGATTCGTATTCTTAATGACGGTAAGTCTCTTATGA